GAAAACGTGCACGTTTGCACTTCCCCGCCAGAGAGAAGCTGTTAGCCGGGAATTCTCTTGCTGGTTGTAACCGCTGCCCGGTGTCGCGTCGTCTGTGCAGTTTAGAAGGCAGCACCCACGTCCGTGGGGATGGAGCTCGTTGCTAGACCGAGGCTGATGCTTTTGGGGAACTGTTTTAAGAAATCGGCAACCCTGTTTTGTTTCCGGCTGCCGCCTTTCTGCTTGCAGCATCTTTGTGCTTTGCTTTCAGAGGCAGGTTAGCAAGAATCTTAATCGTATTCATTTTATTTTAAACTCTGTTGAGTGACTCACTCTTACTTTGTTTAAAAAGATAATCACCTATCCAAAGCTGGCCTTTTCACAAAAGGGTTTTAACACAACAGGTATAAAGCCTTCTCCGTGCTTGTTTTTTATGTGAATAGATGTGATTTTATTACTCTCCGAAGAAAATTAAATAACTATTTTTCTCTTTCTTCCTCAGAAATACCCACCTTATATTTCATCAAGCATCCCTTTCCTTGGACATGCAATTGCATTTGGAAAAAGCCCCATTGAGTTTTTGGAAAATGCTTATGACAAGGTATGTTTTCCCACATGGCTGGCTGAGCGTGTGCTAAAATATTCTTGTGTATCTGATAAGCTCTCTATCTGGAGCTTCCTTAAAATCAGTTAATTCTCATTTACCACCTTGAATATGGAATGGAGTGTGCACAGTAGGCCCTGGTTTCTTCAGAACTTTTTATGTACATTGTTAGAGAAATAGTGTTTTCTGAGATACCTCTTGTGATTAAGATTTAAAAAATATGTCTGTGTATTTTGGTTAGCTGAATCACAAGTTAATGAAAAAGCCATTTTTATGATGTTATTTCTTGCCTTAACTGGGAACTTTTAATCTCACTTTACTAAAATCTATGACCAGGCTGAAATGTAGCTGACCGCTTCTGTAGGCAAGTTGATGAATTTTAATTGTTAATTTCCAATGTTAAAATGACCGGTGTATAAAGTCTCAGTGTGTTTTCTATTATAACAGCCCAAAAGAAATAGCACTAAGGCAGTAGAGCTTTAATTCCAATGAAGTAAGATTTACTGGTTTGTTTCACATTGTCTAAAACTTTCTAGAGTCATAAGCCTAAATGTTAGCTTGGTTAGCTTAGAGAATGCCAAATTTAGTATGAAGATCTGCTGGAGATGACTTTTAAACTTTAAAATTTTACTTGGTCTTACTTGCACATGCGTAACTCCGAATCCAGAATTTTTTGAGACAGTGTTTGTAGGTAACTGGAGGCTGTATGTGCTGTAATCTCCCCGCTAGTTTTCATAGTGTAACTGATCTTTTATTTACAGTTTTTAAACTAAATTGGTTTTAAAACGTGCAAGATCATGTGTTTATTATAATGTTAGATATATCTAGTAAGTATATGGAGAACAGAATTTGAATGTGGTTTCAAATATTTATATCTTTATTAAATCTCTAGATACTTCTTAGGAGAGTGATTTAGGAAGCCTGTACATAAAGACAGACAGACTTAATGATTTATGGTCGTATTTAAAATAAATTGCTTTGTTTTGTTTTTTTTCTCTCTTAGTATGGACCTGTGTTCAGTTTCACTATGGCTGGCAAGACATTCACATACTTACTGGGTAGTGATGCTGCTGCTCTACTCTTCAATAGTAAAAATGAAGATCTGAATGCAGAGGATGTATACTCTCGGTTAACTACACCAGTTTTTGGCAAGGGAGTTGCTTATGATGTCCCTAATATGGTATGTATTTTCAATATCAGATGAGTATAAAATTTGCATAATTTAAATCCTGAGTAGGCAGCCCTGAGCTCTTGGCTCTGTATGATGGAGTTGAGTGTTCATACGCAATTCTGGCATATTGCAGGTAAATTGTCTCAGTTGGAAAATCAAGACTGAATATGTTTAAGTTGCTTTATTTACCACCTGGCCATTTGTCAGTCTGGATGCTTTTTTATGTTCTCAAAACCATCGAATCCCATCATAGAGGAAAAACTAATAAGTGAGTCTCCTTCCTTCCCTTATAGCATGCTGCTGATGGCGGTTTACTTTTCCCTTGCAAGCAACTTTAGGTCTTCCTTCTGAGAGAGCTTTTAGATAGATAACTTTTCATTTATGCCATGTCAGATCTAGATCCAGGAGTATTAATTTGGTGATCTGCACCACAAGGTTTGTCTTGCTTAGACAAAAATCAGTCTGTGTATGTTTGCAGAATACAGCCTGCATGGGTCTGGAAGCACAGTAGCTGTGTCATGTGGCAGTGTTTCTTTGCTAAGCATTGGCTGCTTTCTTGTCTCTGTGTGTTGTGTCATGACAGACTCTTAAACTGCAGAAGCCAACTTTTCCATGGATAGACTTGCTCTGCTGGGACTCTCTAGTCAGCGTATGCTGACACTGACAGCCTGTTGTACAACAGAGTAGTCAGGTGGCAGAAGCAGCATTGTGATATACTTTATTTTTGGATTTCCAGCTTTGGCTTAATCTTTTTGTATAGATGCCAATCATCTGACTTCTAATAGTTTCTGTGGCCATAAAGACCTTTCCTCCTTAGCATACCTCTTCATTCTCCCTTGCCAAAGGTTTTTGCAGTAATTGTTGCCCTCTTTATTACGTGGCTTAGGGGCAGTAATTACTAGTTTCTTTTCCTCCACACTGCCATTTTGCAGTGACCCACAGAGTATGTATGTTGTTCTTACCCCATTCTTTTGGAAATCTCATATACAACTGACTACTAACAACTCACCACTTCATAAGTAAGTAAAGGAGAACTTTGTCTCCTGCTTTATCAGGAAGTGTTATATTGTGGATAGTGTCACAAAGTTTGGGGGGAGAAATGTTTGGGTGGTGTGTTTTTTACACTTGACAGATTTGTATAGCTTCTCCCATCCCTTTGTGAATGAAACCAGCAGGACTGCAGCCTGGATAACAAGTAGGAGGTTCTTTCTTTTGTCCTAGACACTTCTTCCACAAGTGTGGTCGGTCTTGCAGACTTGTTTCTATCAGTTCTGACAGTTGGAGGTCTTCCTCACAGAGTTGAGGATGGAGTTGGGGGAACTGCTGGAGTGACGAGGGTACATGATTCTCTGCAGTACATCTTTTGTGTTCTTCTCTGGTATATACTAGTTTCAGAGAAGCGTCTGTGAACCAGACACAGACTGCTGAGTTGGCCACATTTTCACTGTGGTGGTAGTGTTGTTGAGAATCTGACTGTCGTGGGATGTCTGCTTGAAACTGAAAGGTGCTAGTGTGTCTCTTTAATTCTGTGGAAGTTCATCCACTTGTTATAGCTGTCTTCTGCTTACACACAGTGCAGTTCATGGATGGATTTGAATGTCTCTTCATTCAAGAGCTAGTTCTTTGATGAGATCTAATCTCATCCTTCAGGCATTTTATAGAACTTTCTATAAGCTCTATGGAAATGGGCATTTCTTACTATTATGTTCTTCAGGCATATAGGGATGATTAAGGCCTATCTCACCGGTCCATGGTATACTGCTTTTTTCCTGAAATAAGGTCTTTTTCTAGAATTACCCAGTTTTCTTCCCTAGAGTGTATTTGAGTTCTGTTTTAGCCAAGAGATTAATCTTTTCATATTACTCAGACTTGGGTGTCTGTCTACTTCATGCACACCTTTGATACTAGAAGGACTTACTCCTTTTTATCTCTGCAGATTCAGGTTCCTCAGAAAAACACCTGGGCTACATTTTTCCACAGCTAGGAGGTGCAAGGGTTTTGTTACTGGCATGCATGGATTATTTCTAGTTGGGTGTTTCCCTGTATGAAGCTAGTGAAGTAGCATGTCTGGTTGTGGCCAGAACACCTTCTGTTAGAGGTGAGCTGGTGTTTTTTGCACAGTGCTACCACCACAATTTTATTTCAGACATCTACTGGAAAGGCATTTAGAGAACTGTTCAAACTTTATTTGGTGTTCTACCATTGATGGATCATCCAAGAACTTTTTATTGAGGCTCCCTTCTCTGCTCAAGATTCTAAATCTCTATGCCATAGTCCTGCAGTGACTTTCAGTCACGTGTTTTAAGAAGAGCCAGTCCTGACAGTCGACTACTGGTTAGAATGTACCTGATGTCTATTTAAAATGAAGAGGTTACTTATTTACCAGTAATTCTGGTAATTTTTTGTTAAGTGTCCATAGTCTATGTATCAGCTCATATCCGCTCTGTCCCCTCCCTCCAAGCCTCCTGCAGATAGTTTTGCATTGAGAGGAGCTGAAATGGCAGAGGACATGTTCACTCCTGTGTGCCATTCCTGTCTCCATCAAGCTGAAGATGGAGATGGGCTGGCATGCTGCAAGGGAAAATGTGCTTGTGTGTTTGCTCTGTGGCATGTGTACCCTCTGACAGACTGCTGGAGTCTCCACTGCATTCTGAAAACAGAAGATTATAGGAACTAATCTTTCTTCTTAAGCCTCTTGTTCTGTGAGTAACTTTAATCCATGCAGAGCACTTGGTAGAAAGACAGTTTCTGGGGTACTGCTTATGGTAGAGTGCAGATCTATAGGATAGATGCCCTAATTCTTAATTAGGGCTTAAAAACTCATTGAATAATTTTTTGCGTAGATGTCCTGTCAATCCGCTGAATGGTTCCCATCTAATAATGGGCTTTTTACTAGTAAGTTTGTTAGCTGTGAGTCTATATAAAGAAAAAGAGGAAGAGGTGAGAAGGACGTGAAGTTCACCATTTTCCTAAGAAGTATTATGGTTCCAGCTCCTGTGTCTGACTACCTGGGCAGTGAGATCAGAGGGCCTTGTAAAAGAAAGGTGCATCTCTAGACCAGAGGTAAGGTTTTGCTGCATGAGAGAAGACAGATGCTCTGGAGGAGAGAAAGCAAGGAGGCCACATAACAAGGAACGCAGACCGAATCCAGACTTTGCAAGGACAGGTCTGGTTATGTTTGTGATTATGTATCTAAAATTCATTCCATATTTCAATCTTGAATGTTTCTTGTATCTTCAGGGATAAAGTTTAACAAAGATATTAAAATTACTTTCTGTTTTGGTACTGTAAAAGAGAGAATTGCAGCTCCCTCAAGCTAGTATTTTACTTGGATGTTGCTAAACTTTTGCCTGAAAAACAAAGGTGAAAAAGATAACATTATTTGAGTATCTGTTGTACCCTACGATCCTAGTAATATTTACTTCTGTATGTTCTTATAGTACAAATGATAATAAGTTGTTAGTTAGGTTATTTGATGTGATTAATGTATATTGTGATAATATCAATTAATATTGATTGATACATTGTAAGATGCTTGTACTGATTTCTTTTTCTGTATTGGTTCCTCTAGGTGTTTTTGGAACAGAAGAAGATGCTCAAAACTGGGCTAAATATTGCCCAGTTTAAACAGCATGTATCTGTGATTGAAGAAGAAACAAAGGAGTATTTCAAAGCATGGGGAGAGAGTGGAGAAAAAAGTAAGCAAGATCAGATAAATTTTTCCTCAGATTTTCTGGGAAGGAATTCAGGCCAATGCAGTATGTTTTTGTTAATTATTTACTGCAGTATTAAAGAGATTAAAAATGACCTAGGTAAAACTGTACTGAGTATCAAAAGAAACATGAGAAATACAGATTTTGTTTAATCAAATGTAAGGCTATTGGAGAATAAAGCTGCTCAGAAAATCACTGACAGGAGTAAAGAACTATCTTACTTTGGTTGCTTAGTCGGCTGAGAGTGTTACTGTTGCCTGGCTGGACCACGTTCATTTGGCACAGTATGAGTCATCTCAGCGTAACCACCTTAGTCCTGAGGAAGAGATACTGCTCTGACTTCCCAGAGCCTGTCAGAGATCTTAGCTCAGGGATCTTCTGCACTGCAGATCAGTATCCTTGATGCTGATACGCTTATGTTAGTGATCAAAATGGAATTCTTATTTCCCAGCTAGCCAGCTAGATATAGCCCACTGTTACTGTTGCAAGCCCACAGTGGCATAACAGTGTCAGAAATATTTATTTAAATTTATATACTTATATTTAAATATATATCTAATTTATATTACTTATTCAGATATACTTATTTTACAAGTATATAATTATATGAGTTAATATATACTTTTATGCTTAATTGTATAAATATTATTTTTAAAATAATACAGTGAGCAGCAAAACTACTTTCTTATGGATTGGGATTTCAAGGTTAAGTTTTTGTATGACGACTTCTGTATTTATTAAGGATTGAGATTGTTCTGCAATGGCTTACTTTGGAAGGATTACTAGCTCTCCTAGAAAATTTTCTAGAAAAAATACTTGAGAAAAAAGTTGTTGAAATCAGTGATCTAATTAAAAAGTTGTTTGAAGAGAGACCTGAAAGACACACATAAATTTAAAATGAGATACTTCATTCTCCTAGTAAAACAATCTAAAACTCTATTTAAAATTGTTCTGTGTCCAGTTACTTGTCTATTCTACAAAATCAAGAATAATCTGTAAAAGATAACGTCTCACCTGAAATGCATCTTCAGTAACGTTTTTAAAAATCTTCCCTCAGACCTATTTGAAGCCCTTTCAGAACTTATCATTTTGACAGCAAGTCATTGCTTACATGGGAAAGAAATAAGAAGCCTACTGAATGAGAAGGTGGCTCAACTGTATGCTGATTTGGATGGGGGTTTTACTCATGCTGCCTGGCTTCTGCCAGGTTGGCTACCTCTGCCGAGCTTCAGGTACCAGAAATAACAGATGAAGCAACTTAAGTATTTTATCTAAATGTCTCTGTTGTGTGGTTTGTTTTTTTTTTTTCCCCTCCATATTTCTTGTTTGTAAGCTATTCTAGACAACCCAGTAAATATCCTCATAAGCATTTTATGTGTTACTTTGTATGAGTTGCTAACAGAAGTGTTTTGAATCGCAGACGTCGAGATCGAGCGCACAAAGAAATAAAGAGTATTTTCTATAAGGTTATCCAGAAACGTCGAAAGTCTGAGGAAAAGGAGGATGACATGCTCCAAACTCTACTTGATGCTTCATACAAGTAAGCCAAGGGTTTGAAGGCTTGTCATTTAGAGATGTTTTACTTTAGCTTTCAGCTCTTCAGTTAGAACTATCTACCAAAAATAAATATTCCCTCATGTTTTGAACTGATTTTGTTGCCAGCAATTGGTCCTAGCTATATTCTTAGAAACAGCTTAAAAACTTTACTTGCAAATAGTTATTCAGATTTCTGAGATTTTTATCAGTGGTCACGATGTTGCTTCCTTTCTCTTTGCTGGCTGTTCAGTAATAATTTACCTGAAGACTCTTAAGGAGTCTCTCTCCCTCTGTTCTCCCTTCTCCCTACCCCTAGATCTTCTGCTGCTCCATTTAGGGTAGGCAACAAAAGAGAAGGAGAAAGAAGTACATTAGAAGAAACTGTAAATGCTACTCTACGTGGAAACCTGATCAAATGAAGCTTTAACTTAACACCCTTCAACCTAGGGATGGCCGTCCGCTGACAGATGATGAAATTGCTGGAATGCTGATTGGGTTGCTGCTAGCGGGGCAGCACACATCCTCCACTACTAGTGCCTGGCTTGGCTTCTTCATAGCCAGAGACAAATCAATACAGGAACAGTGCTATGCAGAACAGAGAGCAGTTTGTGGGGATGACTTGCCACCATTAACTTATGACCAGGTTTGTATGTTACATTATTCCTGCTGGGTAATTGTACACTTTTTAGATGCTTATTTAAAAAAAAAAAAAAACAACAAACAAATGTGAAATACAGTCATGTGCTTTGTGTTAGAATGATCATCTGGTACAATCACTGTGATAATGCTGTTTGCCAATATATCCCCTCCAGCTCCTCCTCTCCAAGTAAATTTTCATTTTGCTACTTTTTTTTTTAATCAGTATTGATAAAGGAATTACAGTTCCTACAATGTCTATTTAAGAAATGATAGTTCTGTAGAGGAAGAAGATCCTCATATGCCCACTGAGGAAAAGGGATGCAGTGTGACCTTGTTCTTTAATTAGGCATTAAGAAACACTCATGAGACAGATCAGTAAGAAACTACTTGTATTTGATTGCACTGGTCAGAGCTTTTTTCCTTCTTCACTGAATCAAATGGAAATAATTTATCAGGGTAGCTAATGAAGTACATGTAAATATGAGCCGCTTACTCTGACTTTTTTAAAATTTGTTTTTAAATGGTATAAAACACCCTTTTGTTTGTGTTGAATAAACTTTGCTATATTTTGATAGATCATTTTCTCTGCATTTTCAGCTCAAGGATCTCAGTCTGCTGGATCGCTGTCTAAAAGAAACTTTAAGGCTTAGACCTCCTATAATGACCATGATGAGAATGGCCAAAACTCCCCAGGTGAGTACACTTGTTGGAGCCAACTTCACTTCAGTAGAACAGCGCTGGAAAAGGCCAGGTTGGGGGTGTCCCAGTTGGCAGAAGGAAAACCTGAAAGGAGCAGTGTTTGCTGGCAGGGATGAAAGCTGATAGCAGCCTGGGTTGTATCAGCGGGAGTGTAGCTGGTGTTGACTGCGGAAAGCAATTAATACCTTGAATTTGGTAGTTGTTACCTTCCTCTGGAATTATTTGTGTCCAATTTTGGACCCCTCTGGCCCCCAGCAATCAAGATGTTGATGCAGTGAAGGAAGCACAGGTCACAAAGATACCTGGTCAGGGGTTGAACCACTTGTCCTGTGAGGAGAGGCTGAGGAAACAGGGTTTGTTCAGCCTGGGGAAGGGAAGGCTCCCAGAGGACCTAGTAACAGCCACGTGCAGTCTTATTCAGCAAAACTGATCCTTTCTTTTTAGTTTTTATTTAAAGATACTTCCTGTTTGCCAGGTGTTTTTAACAGCTATCTTGGAAAAACTTGGCTTGCACTTAATACAGTATAAACTAGGTAAATCTGAAAGAAAACTTACTGTTTGTCCAAATAAAAGCAAGTCAAATGTCAATTTTTTAAAATGAATGTCCCTCCCATGACAAATGCTTTCAACAAAATTTAAGTTCATTCATTCTTTTTTGAAAACATTTGCTGTAAAATTGCCAGCCTTGTTAAAACAGCGGAAAGGTTCCTGCAATTACTTGGAACACTGTGTTCTGTACAAATAAAACAAGTATTAGGCTGCAATAATTTTAAATACCTTAGCTAAAATCTCTTTTTGAAATTCAAGTCTCATGATAGAGCATGTCAGGTAACACTTCAAAAAGAAAAATGGAGAAATTTTGTGATGCATGGGGTTTTGTCTCTTCTCTTGTAGACTGTTGCTGGATATAACATTCCCCCTGGCCATCAGGTCTGCGTATCTCCCACTGTTAACCACAGACTCAGGGACTCCTGGAAGGATGCTCTGGACTTCAAGCCTGACCGGTATCTCCAAGATAACCCAGCAGCTGGAGAGAAATTTGCGTATGTTCCCTTTGGCGCTGGTGAGTAAGAAAAGGTGGTACCTTCCTGAGTGACTGTGTACTGGAGCGGCTCATGCTGGTAGTCTCGTACATCACCTCCCCATGTTGTAGCCCCTGAGGATATATTTTTTTTCTTTTCTATTCCTGCCTGAAAGTTTCCTTACTGTGAAAGTGCTGTTGAAACACTGAGATCAATAGTTTTGCATTAGCAAGAGCTGTATGTATCACTCGGAGGTAGCAATCAAACCCAATCTTTAAGTTAGTATGTGTGGTATTTGACTTTTCAAGTCTTCAAGTCAAGGTAAAAACCTGATAATACAAAGTAAGTTTAAGGCAGAGCAAAAATCTGCATGGAGTCACAACTGCCAAAGCAGTTTGCAAATATCAACACACCAGGACTAGAGTTGATATCTTTTCTTAGTGTTGCAAATGCTTCTTTGATGATACATAAATTAAGGTGGTGTGGTGTTCTCACCAGAAGGCAATCTTATTCAAATTACTTGGTCTGTTTTATGCAGTGACAGCTTATAAAAACAAGACTCTTCTGGAGTTCCATAATGATGTACGTGCAATACTGGAGCCTCATATTGTTTGGACAGTAATTGCTTTTTTCTACATAAAACTTTTAAAGTTAGCTTGTTGTCAAAGGTGATTTAACAACTAAGTATTCTAACTGCTTTTTATGGCTTTCCTTCTAGGCCGTCATCGCTGCATTGGAGAAAACTTTGCTTATGTTCAGATTAAGACTATTTGGTCTACTTTGCTCCGTTTGTATGAATTTGATCTCATTAATGACTATTTTCCAACTATAAATTATACAACAATGATACATACACCTAATAACCCTGTTATCAAATATAAGAGGAGATCACTGTAAATTCTGGAGCTAAAACCTTATTTAAGTTGTGTAAACTAACAGACTTTTGAATAAATGAGTGGCAAATGTTGCACCTACGGTTAGGAAAGCAACAATAATCTACCAAATGAAAAGTTTCTGCATCTGTTTTGTCTGCCCACATAATTTAATGCTGTTGTGTATAATGGCTTGTTCTACAAATTTCTTATTGCCTTTTTAAAAGAAAGTGTCTTTTCTATTCATGTAACACTTTAAAGGTGCATGCCAACTCTTTAAGGTGAAGAAATAAGTAATTTCTATAAACAGAACTCTGCTTTTGAAAAACAATTGAAGATTACTTTTCCCAGGATAATACAGGGTAAGACTTACGTGTACTTTACCTCTGTATCCAATTACAGTACATCGGTCAGGGAACAGGCACCACCGGGCAAAGTACGTGGCGGTGCCCTACCTTTGATATTTGTGATTCTGTTCCAAGTGAACTAGGTATGGTCTTGGCTGATTATTTAAAAAAAGGTTACTGTACATTTGAGTAGTAAGCAGGCTATAAAATGTTCACAGATAAGTCTTTTATGAGAATAAACGATTTAACTGTCTAACTTAAAGCAGTTTCAATTTTTCTAAAAACTTCTGGAAGCAGTGATCTTCATAAGCTTGATATAAGTGTGAAAGTAAAAATACGATGATACAAATAACATTAATTTGGTAAATAACCTGTTTTGTGTATATAAAATTGTCACAAATTAAGTGAAATAGCTGAATGTTGTCCCCCTTTGTACTGACTCGTGTAAGATTGTTAAATGGTGTTTGGTTCAAGAGTGGTGATGACAAATGGCTCACAGGAACGTAGCATTAAATTTATAAACAAAATTCTTGTGGAATTTTTCTGTGTTCAACCCTGTCAATTCTGGGGGGGTGGGTGTTGTTTGTTTTTTCTCATTTTTGGGTTTTTTTTTTTCCTGAACACAAAATGCCTATATACATAAATCCCAGTCTGCATGGGTATGCCAGGATGGAACTGTATACAATCATCTAGCTGTGTCCATATTGGTCCCACAATATACACATTATACAAAAGCACAGAAAGAGCACAGATTTACAGAAGGCATTCCATGAACATCACTGCCAGTGATGGAGATGTTGAAAGGGTATTATCTTCTCATACCCATGTGCAACTGAGTGTATGAAGTCGAAGCTGTAAGAGGGAGAAAGATTTTCATCAAGATTACTTGGAATAATAGATGAGGATTCACCAATGACATGTTACTTAGATAAGTAAAAGTGAAAGATTTTACATCGGAAATCTTTTAAGAACAAAGCTTCCTCAAATGATGGATTTTATGTTGAAGTAAGGCTTTAACACAGTAACTGCAAAAATCAAGTTTGATAAATTATGTCCCATTGATCTGATAATTTTCCTGATGTATTCCTTTTGCACAAACATTACCATCATCTATGAGACAAAAAGGCTGTAAATTCTGTAATCAAAGTGGGAGGAGAAGAAATGCCCCTTGTACTCTTCCTCAGTCTTTTGGGTACATTTTGATCCACCTAGCTTAAAATCTCAATAAGATTCCAACTGAATCCTTGCTGCCTATTTATTAGAGATCAGGGAAAGTTAAAGTGTTAACAATAAACTCAAAATCTGTAATTAAAGCTCACTTGTATGTCTCCCTTCAAAGAATTTTACTATTTCTTTTTTAATGAGCTTTTTGCTACAACTCAGAATAGCCTCTTGTTATGGCTGAAAATGCTTAAAATCACAGATGTTTGTTATATATCTCGGAGAACCAGCACACACTTTCTAAGTTGGAACCGTGCCTTGTGCTACCCAGGAGTCACGGGGAGGACTGCCTGAGCCCTTACCTGACTGCACACTGCCAAGTCGCCTTTGTAGTGCCTCCAGCCGATTTATGTAATCTGTTAAAGCTCTTTCAGGATCATAGTTCTGCAGTTGAGAACAGGCAAAAGAGACTGGGTTTAAATCAGCATGTGTACCGTGGAACCTAGGGGCAGAACAACACAGATGTTTCCAAAAGGCAGAATTTCAAGTAAAACAAAAGCTATCATCAGACACAGCAAAATACTGTAAGTAGGGATACCTTACTGACTGCATGTCTCTTAACTTACCCATGTGGTAACCAGCACATTACACCCATTTAACCTCCCTGCCATTTATTGTCCAAGCCATTATAATGCCTCCCCCAGAGAAACCACTTTTCCCAGTTGCTTCTTCTTTCTACTGCACTTGATTTGTTGCTGCATTTCTTTGAGACAAAGACTGACCAGCAAATTCCTACTGAGACTGCAACAGAAGCCGTGGTAGATTCAAGTTTGCTTTTCTATTAAGAAGCTTGTGTGAATAAGTACACAGCCATCTTTACAGGATTCTGACTCTTCGTTACACTCTGTAAGTAAAAGTCAAGAGTGGCTAAAATAAACATTTTTTCCATGTAAATTCTTACGGTTGCCACAAACTAAGATTACAAATGGTGAGGCTGTTTATATAAAAATGAAAAAACAAAATGGCTAGAATCTGATATTTGGTAAAGATCTGAGCTCACAACTCCATATAAACTCATCAAAGGCTGATGGTGCTCATAAAAACACTGTCTTTGATGAAAAATAACGTGATTTCACTGGCATCTGATTCACTAATACCTCTGGTACCACTGCTTACTACGGCCAACCGAAATGGTTTAAACAAGATCAAGCAGCAGAGCTACCAAGCAGCTTCCACCCATGTTCTGGCCACGAGGCCACAGTAATTCCTTGCAATCCACAATAACCAGATGACCCTTCCCAGCCACAGTGAGTGGCCCTGCTTTTCCCTTCCTTCGGCTGAGGGCACCTGAGGCAGCCCCTCTCCACACCACACTGCTGCCAACCACCAAAGGTGGACAGGTTCACTTGGCTGCAAAGTCTAGACTCTACAGATGGAGATAACGGTAGCTCCGTCCAGCGATCCACCACCAATTCCAAGAACATGACATAAATCAGACAGCAAGTCTGCAAGCTTTGGCCTTGATCGGGTGATGAGTAAACACACACTGAAGGCCTGAGATATGATTTGTTAGATGTCCTTACAAGAAAAAGTTAGAAAGATATTATGGCATTAAAGATTACAAACCTTAGCAGTAAGCACTGATGCATTCATTTAGGTAAACAAGTGTTCTGACAAAGAATAATAATCTAAAATAAAATGTACTTATGTTGAAAGTTCTAGGAGACTCAATGTCTGACCTGGATCTGTAGGAATGCCTTTGTTCTCCATAAAGATCCATGCCACCAGAGAATGAATCAGGCCGTAATTCATTACCTAGAAATAGAAAAAGCAATGTCTTGAAAATTAAAAGAAGTAACACTTTTTGCACTTTACAGGGAATCTCATATGTGAGTTTTCTGTTCACCTATCACAAAAACAGCATTTAACAAGTGTAGACCACTTTCAGACTGTTTCAGAGAAAACCAGAGGTGAAATCCTGGCCTCGCCGATGTTAATGAAAACACTCTCACAGACTGAGCAGGACAGAAATGCAGACCTAGATAGCCAGGAATTAATAAAGAAGCTTCTATTCTCCTTAAGCTCCTACCAAAAAGCAAACAAAAAACCAGTTTTTCCAAACTTTAAGCTATACCAAAAGAATGACAGGCTTTTGTTCTGAGAAAAAAGCCAGGGAGGGCTGGTCAATAGGCTCTGTTGTCACTGTAGGATCCTGTGGTTGCTACGATTCCTCCGTTCATCCCTTTCCTCAGCATCCCCTCTCCGAGCCGGGGGATGCAGATCTCTTACATGATGCATCTAAAATTGTTTTTACAAACACACTCCATAGGGAAAGTTGCCATTTTTTTAAAAATCCCACCCACAATGGAGTAAAACAAGATTGAAGAGAAAGCAAATAGATTAGTGTCTGTGCTGAGCATGGCAACTCCCCAAAACCCGAGAAATAGGTTAATCCAAGCAATTATAGCAAAAGGAAGTGGGAACAACACCCCATTCATTCCACATGAGGAAAATTCAAGTTAAAAACCATCTCCATTAAGCAGTGATGTGACTTGTGAACAGTATTCTTTCAATCATTACTGGACTATACTTTACCTGTGTTCTGGCTAAAGACATCCCTATTGATACTTAATATACCAGAACCTGTAACTCTGTGCCATCGACGAACCAGGAACTTCATTCTGTATTTCAAATAGAAAAAACAAACAAACAAACAAACTTCAGGATAAATGAAATAGTCTGTGAAAAATAATCTGTTTGTTGTACTCTAGCAGGCATAAGAACTTCTTGGACACCAAGTAAAGTTAATGGATGGGCACCTAGAACCTGAAGATCAAGTAGAAAACATCCTTATACACATCCCTAAGAAAACCATCTTTTGTTCAAATCTGCTTTAACCTTCACCTCTGCAATTCCAGTGATTCCAAAGGTGCTGCGTAAGTCCAAGTGGACAGCAGATGGCTCAAGCACCTAAGCAACAGTGCATCAGCATTTTAAAATCATACTAAATATACTTTCTGCACTGTTGCATCCCCAAAACTGTAACCACAGTGCTATGTGTAAAAGTCTCACTTAGAACAGGTACATGAATAGTTCCTTCATTTTATACTACACACAAGGCTCAGATCAATAGCAAACAGAAGCCCTTGGGGGTTCAAACCTTTCTGAAGGTTTGCTAGCAACATGGCAGTACTATGCAGCAATAACCTTCACTTACTCTTCCTCATCTATTCCTATTCATCCTCAGTCTCAGACCTATAGTCTTGCAAATTCCAAGAACTACCTAGATGAATAAAATTAGTTCACAGATCTTTTATACTTATGTGTAAGAATTTAACCTTCAAATGAAATTAAGTTGCAGAAAATACCATTGTAAGCAAGTGCATAGCCTAGAACTGCTAATTTTTTCCCTAATGACTTCATCCGTCTTTGATTATCAAATACAGAGCCCTTTTCAACTACAATCAGATTGCTTATTCCTATTACAGATTTTACCTATGCTCTGCTCAACCTGGCACTCTACACAGTTTCTACTATATTCATGACTACCAAAAATTTAAACAGGATGGAACATGAACAGTTCTAGATTCCACTAGAGAGCTAGAAAAGTACGTATTAAACTGCATGGTCATATCTGTTTGAAATCTAACTTCCTCCAGTTTACCTTGAAATTGCAATGGACACTCTGACTGCAGAGCGAAATCTTGTAAAACCCTTTGAATGATGTGTGATGATTTCAAGATCTGTGTAGGAAGGCTGTCCACCCATTCGTGCAATGAGGGCCAGTGTGGCTTCTTCACACTCCTGGAATCCGCCTAGTAACAGCAGCAAATACTTTTTCTGGTATATGAGAGCTTTCCGAAAGCTCTCTGCTCGTAGGTATTTGCCATAAATTTTCTATAAGAAAAAAAAAAAAAGCGCCTCATAAGCTCCAAGGATGATTACAGTTCTAAGACTTTTGATATCAGTGCTCTCAGAGCATTTTTGTGATTATTTCTTGCTATCATGGAGGAGACCGCACCACTGCTCACACTTGTTGAATGTATCTTCATAATCTGAGGATTACCTGAGCAGCAAGAAATAGACCACAAACAAAAGGACAACATAGTTGCTTACATATCATTCCTGGGGAGAAGAATTAAGAGTCAGGTATCCAAGGATGAAAATTTTTAAGCTGAATAAATACCTGTTTACTTAAAATAAGCAGAGGGAACACAATGAAAAATAGGTCCAAATCAAAATTAAAAAACCAGCTGTAGTCAGTATGTGGGCAACAAAGTCTTCCTACCCTTAAAATAGCATTTTCAGAATCTGATCCCAGTTCTCTGAGAAAAGCCTCGCTCCTGAGCTCTGCTCTCAGCTTGGACAGCTCCGCATCAGCTTGTTTCAAAGATTTCTGCAGTGACAGCTTTTCTCTGTTCCAAATTTCCTTCTCAGAGGCAACAAGAGTATCGATATTAACTCCAACATCTGATGAGTGTCTAGAAGACTGAAGACAAGAGAAACTGACTTTGAACCACACAGTTTGGAAAAGCTTGAGCTGTGTCATTCTAGTTATTAGTTTGGTGGAGAACTCATAAAATTAATGAGAAAAACTACCCACTGATTGGATTTGAGGCCACTCCTGCATCCTAACACCTCAGACACAATGAGTTTAGGATATTGATCAGTCTCCTAGAAAAATACAGCTTCTCCCCCCCCCCAAAAAATCTCCCTCACCACATCATTCATACTAGCTTCACGATGGTGAAGCTATTGGGAGCTATTTGCTACTCATCATGGTGATGAGATACAGATCAAAAAGAGAAGCACATGGAATTGAAAAGAAAAGAGCAGTTAACAAAAAGATGATAAGTAAAATCACAATGTTTACAGTGAACAGAGTGTGTTCAGGTATACTGACCACAGGATAAGAATAACTCACACACATTTACTCTGCAGAAGGAAGCCAACAAAGACAGACAGTTTGATCACTCACTTAGGTGACTAGGACAAAGAATGATGCTTTTATGCCTATATATACATTATATCAGCATCACTAAAGACATACATAGTCTCCAGGTTGTCTGTGCTGGTATTTTCTCAGTTCTCCCTCCAGTTTCATAACAGCATTCCTCAAATTATTCTTTTCTTCACTCAGTCTGCTGACAAAGCCCGTTAGCTCAGCATTTTGTTTCAGCAGCCTCTCAGTCAATGAGCTAGATGGAGTCCCTGGTGGTAGCACTAGCTTCAGCTAGAAACAAGAAAGAAAACCAAACACAACTTGTATTAGATCCAAGTTGTCAACTTGAAAATAAATAGCTTATAGTAAAAAACTTTTGTAGGTAATGACAATAACTTCATAATATATAAAGAAAACATGTGTACTTGTAAACTATAGATTAATACGAATTACTCTTCTATGCTTATTCTATATATCACAGCAGAATTTTCACACAAGCTCAACTGTACCAGGTTATAACCATTTGCAAAGATTTTCTACTCTGTTTAGATTTATCTAACTTAGAGAAAAGAAAAGCCTCAAAGCTTTTTTCAAGTCATGTTGAAAACACTTGCCTAAAATGCAGGTAAGATCTAGCCAAGCTCAGTTAAAATCGAATATTACTGAATTCTTTGTAACAGATTACCTCGTTTCGTTTTTTACACAGGTGCACACTACTTCATCTTTGACTGCCTTTCCTTTGGTAAATACAGGGCAGTTTAAGCAAATGTGTCTTATCAACACAATAGAGTAAATATTAAATGTTGAATTTAATATTGGGAAGTCCTGAGCGGAGTTTCTTCAGTTACAGGACAATATCTAGCCACGAGATTCAACAATTTATAACTTAAACTGGAGAAGTTTTAATGTGAAAGTTGAAAATTCACTTTTAGGATCATTAACATTGAAAAAATAAAAGGAAACAGGTTTTTACAATTCACCAACTGCAAATCAGAACACTCACTGAAGCAGATTTTCCTCTATGAAGTATTGACCTGGATAATTACAGACTAGCAACTCTTGCTGGTTTCTGCTCTCAGCTCATCATCCAAACTCTCCCACCAAAGTTACAACATTGCACTCTCACCTCTTCCAGATAGGACAATCCAGGGAGTTTTTTCAGCTCCGAAATAACTTCTTCAATAGCATTTTGTATTGAAATGAAGTCTTGATCATCTGCTGTTTCAAACTGTAATCTGAAACAAAAGTGACAGTTTCAACAGCAGGTGTAGATATGACTGTCCATCGATCTATACACACTGGGACTCCAGCAAATCACTTCAGCATAGTTACTGAAGACATGGCAACATTTTCAAGACTGCTCAGTTGCTCTAAACAAAATTGGCTCGATTTTAGAAAGAACTTGCATAAAGCACTTCCTATTAATTTTGAGAAAAGGATGTTATACATCTAAAAATGTGGTTCTGCCTCCCACAGATTTTCTGAATCTGTGTGACCAAAATCTTAGGATATTTTCAAGATATATTGCATCCCGATTTGCTCAAAATGTTTCAGAATGAATGCTTAATATTAAATCACCATCAGAGCAAAATAAAAACAGATTCAAACCTCCCATGAACCTGGTACCATGCTATTTTTTTTTTCTTAAGTAGATAGTAACCTGAGAAGAATCAAGATCAGTTTCACTTGACCATAAAATATTAATTATTTTCTGGGCAAAGCAAGGGGTATGATCCACAGCAATAATGCCTATATTCGTCCCCTTATACAGTGAATAGCTTATTACTAAATTGTTTTAAAATTATCTATCTACACCATACCCAAATAAATCTTACCACTTTTCAGAGAAAAAAAGAGACAATTTTGCTGTAACTTATAAAAGACCATATTAAACATGTAAGATTTAGAGCAGTACTTGATACTCTGTGATCTTGTCTTACATCAGCACATCTCAAGTAATGGCGTACACTATAAAACTAGAACCACTGCAAAATCAGTTACACCTGCAGTCTCTGAATTATGATTAAAACCCAACATACCAGCTTGCCAGTTGCTATTAACAAAACCGAGTAGCTGAAGACTGGTCTAACCTGCTCGCAGCTTTCCGAGCCAGCTGCTTCAGCTTTGGAGATGCATTTTGCAGCTTCTGTCTGACATTCTCCAGAATTTCAGTAGCAGCAGAGAGATCTCCTCCTGTCAGTGTGGGGTAGGTTGATTCATTTGTCTCAGCTCCTTCCATTTTTTGCTGGAGAACCCAATTTCTTGTTCTGTCATTAGGTGTATCCCAGACAGTCTGTATAGAAATATGTATATATTTATATTTATATTTATATTTATATTATGCATGTTGTTCAGTGTTTTAAAATGGAAACACATGACTCTGGAACACAGCCAGAAATTGAAGAACAATTCTGACACAGAAAAGAGTTTAGTGCGACTACAGTAATGTTGTAGTGTACCACCAAACCATTATTTGTGAATGGTATAGTGTGATGCCTCTCTTGCCTAAGATCTAGTGATCATACAGCTACGGTGTGAATCCTTCAATAAACTCAGCTGGCAGGAAGGCACCAAGCCTTCCTGTTTCTTCTGCCAGCAGCTCCTTTACCAGTTCTGCATGAAATTAGGGCTACGGTGCCCATGTGTTTCAGTGACCAGCTGACAGTCAGAGGAACAGGACTGGAAAAGCCCACCATGGTCACAGAGGTCAGTCCCCAGTCACAGGCAACCATACCACTGATGCTGCCACAGGTGTAACAATGCCCTGAACATGTGCTCCTCACCTTCACTAATACCCCTCTGATACTGGCCATGGAAAAACTGCTAGCCCTCCCAAGGAAACCTGAGTCTACAGCTGTGCCTTTAGATATTTGACCATGGTGTGGTACCAATGACAAAAAGCAGGGTGTTGTCACAGGAAGCAGCAGGTGATTCATTATTTTAAACTCCAGGCAGATCCTGGAAAGTGGATCATACTGTCTGCTGCCGAGGAGGGAAAAAAGCCCCAACACAGCCACTGCCAACCTGATCCAAGAGAAGATTCTCTGTTGACTGCAGTGCTGGCAGTCACCTCTGAGCAGAAGAGCAAGGTCCACAAACTGAGCATGGCAGGAATCAATACACTCAACATCCTGCCTCCAGCTGTGTGTAGTTTCCAATGCTTCAGAAGATTAAAACCAGTAGCTAGCTTAGATGAAGAGAAAAATCCTGGCTCCACAGACAGCTGCCAAAAAGCATGGAACGATGGCATGATGGGCAAAAACATGGTCAGCAAAGAGGCAAGTGTCCTGTCAAGGCTCTCTGGGACTATCCACAAATCAGTCAGCCAGCACCATTTATCTCCTACAGGAAACTTTCTAAAGAGTTTTAAAAGTAATTTCAAAATAATTTTAAAACTTTCTAAACCTTTTATGAGAGAGAAATTTACAGGCAACAGCAGTTCCAACTTTCATTCATCTAAAAACAGGCTAAATTCTTAAATTAATTTTTTACCTTGATTTCTTCCTTCTATTTTGTTTGCTATGTTTGCTAACATATACATATTCATGCATATGTTTATTTGATTACTTACTCATTTAATTACTGAAGTTATTGGGAGATCACTTTTAAATGTTTCAAAGACCACTTGCAGTTTATGAACTAAAGATTAAGAGCACTGACCTGGAGCATTCCTGAGTAGCAATAGCTCATTCCTGCGACTGGGTGCAGGGAATATTCTTCTCCTATACTGAGACACAAAGTGTGTGCATAGATTCAGATGCATTTCTCCTGCTCATGTTCCTCCTTACACTTCTACAGCTTCGTTCTCAGAGGATGTGTGTGAATAGTTTTAGGTAGCAGAACTGGAATGCTTCCCCTTTCCCTTTCTCTGATGCCTGTATTTTGCAATCTGCAGGCTATTTTATAGAGTGAATAAAGGCACAGTGACATACAATGCTAACTGAACAAAAGAATTAAAAGCTGAATTGCAAAGTTCAGTATTACACGTTGCTCTCTGTCCTACTGTACCTCATTTGGATTGTGGCTTGGTGTCCTTTGGGCTTCCCTTCTTCCTTCATTATCCTGCTCTTTCTTCTGTAGTTCTTGGATTATTTCCTGCAACTTCTTTGTTTCATTCCCTAATTTATTAACTTCTTGCTTCTTTTCTCCAAGTTGCCACTGAAGGTCTTCTACTTTGGACTCCAGTTCATGGAGTTTCTTCTGTGCTGTTATGTTAGCATCCTGTTCTGCTTGTAATGTTTTCCTCTGGATCTGCCTTTCTTTTTCCATTTGCTGTCTCACTTGCACAGATTCCAGTTTATACTTCTCCATCTCACTTACTAACTCCACTATACGGTCATGCTTTTCATCCATTTGTTTCTGTAGCTCTTTAAGTAATTCCTCTGATGGATTAGGTGTTCCAGCTTGTCCCTTATCTTCAGCACTTTGAAGCTGAGCACATAGCTCTTTTTCCCTTTCAAGGGCACTGCTTATTTCGAGAGCTCGAACCTTCTCTGATTCAAGAAGCACCTGCAACTCAGAATTACGGCCTCGTTCACGTGACAGCTGGGCAGCACTGAGTGCTTCTTGGGATTCAATTTTCTGTTGCAGATCAGTTGACAGCTGTTTCTCTTGCTCCAAAAGTTTAGTTAACTGTAAGTTCTTTTGCTTTTGATCTTCAAGTGAAAATTTTAAATCCTTCCATAAGAAAACAGAAGAAAAGAACTGATTAAAACCATTTGTGTATACTTCACATTATCTTCTGCAAATTGCAAATATGCTACCTTTACACGTTACTTTTAACAGATTTTGCTATTCACAATTAATGTGACAATACTCTGAATGCTGCAGTTACATCTGATATTACAGGTGTCTATTCTAAAATCAGATCATCTCATAAAAGAGTATTTGTAACATTTACTTTTTAATGAGATACAAACAGCTGTAGTTCTGAAGTTGAAGATAACTAGCTGCTTTACCTTTCTAAAACTGTGGAAGTAGTTTTGAAAGTTAAGATTTCAAGATGTAAATAAATTTGTGCTGTTAAAGTGACTGCTTTTTTGTCTCAATACTTGTACTAGGATACCTGCTCTCTCCCTCACTATATCAGATACTGCAGAGGTACCAAGGAAGCTTTTCTCCTAAAGTAAACTTCCTAGTTTGGTTTTCATGAGGTGAAACTGCTTTTAAAATGGTGACAAACAATATAGCTCCTTAAATAACAAATCCTATCTTTTATGAGTCAGATTGTGGTGGGGGCTAGGTGTAGCCATGTTAGCAGTGTCCTGTCTCCTTGAATATCTGATGGCTATTATACAAATTAGAATCTTTTCATCTTGGCCCTGAAAAGTGCAGCTGTAAAGTTACTATTGATTTCAATAGAATTTGCATCAGGCCCTTTTCTTTCTTTGCCACGCAGCTTCCATACATCATTCTTCAGCTCCAGATGACATAATGCTGCTGTTGAAGACACCCATGGAGCACACATTGAAATGTAAGCTGAGATGAAATGTTAACCAGAAGAATATTTGCGTGTTCCTTGATGTTCCAGGTCATTTAGGATTATGGAATACCTCAAGCTCTTCTCTTCCTCTTTCCTCACTGCGTTCCATTTTAGCTTTTTCCTTTTCCAAAGCCCACTGTAGCTCTCTTGATTTTTTCTGTTCACAGGCCATTGTATCCTTGAGAATATCTAGCTCAGCTGCTTTTTCTTTAACTTCAGTTCTAAAAGAGAAATGGACAACCTTTGTATTAGACGACGGCTCTAATCCTATCACAGCAACATCAGTTACTTCATATTTATTTCATCTTGTGCACTGCTTGTGTAATAGAGTAACAGTGAAAAGCCTATTTAGAAAAACAAGCCTAGCTCAAAAATGAAAAAAAACAGTTGCACAGCTCAAAAATGACAGAGAGTGAGTCCATCCTGCTAACTTTGTAGCTGTCATTTTTTAATTGGTGGCTCAGAGGCAGCTAGTGTTCAACTGAATTCAGTCACTGGCCAAAATCTGAAAAAATGCAGGGGAAATGCATTTTGCTGCCATATGTCTCAAAGGAAAAAAATCGGGGGG